GCTCATGATGGTGCTCATCCAGCTCATTATCTCTCATGTCCTGGAAAGCTGACGCATCAGAGGCTACACCAGAGTCAAAGAAAGTGTTCTCAGGGCAGAGGAGGACAGGCTCCTCGTGCACAGAGTGAACCAGGCGCTGTTTACGTCGAGAGCTGCTGGCTTGTCTCTTCGGAAAGGACTTAGGTGTCTCACATTTAACTGAAACACATACAGTTTCCTCCTTTACCTTGAGGTCTTTGTTCTTCTGAGGATACACTGTCACAGTTGGGACGTCACATTGTGTCACCTGTCAGACATACAACCATGTACTTTACTATTCTACCAGTAACTGTGTCATCACACTCAAACCCCAACACATATTGTTGGCATGACAAAAATCTAAGTCTAAATCTAAAGCTGATTGCACATGTTTTGATAGTGAAAAATCTAAAACGTATATTTGATATTGAATACTAACAGACCTTCAAATCACCAGGAACAACATCAAGACTGTGCGTTTGGATTCGGACATAATTCTGCAATGCATGACAAAGTCTTTACCTTAGGAGCTATCCGCACTCTCTTGGCTTCTCGTGGAGTGTTCCGTTTCTGCTGTGAGCAGGAGGGGGGGAGCTGGGCCGTCGAGGACGGCAGGTAGACGGAGGAGGAGACGGGCAGCTGGATAGGAACAAAGTAGGAATCGGTTCGAGGGAGAAGAGGTTTCATCCTTCTCTCTGAGCGTAGAAAAGACAAAAACCGAAGACCATCTTAATGACCAAAATTCAAATTTAAAAACTGACATCACCGACATTTTTGGTCTATTTTTCCCTCTCCCCATTTAACGCATATCAAAGTCCTTCCACCTCGGTTAACTCACCAGTGCCAGTCGGTGTTTTTCTTGCATCAGGAAGCATCCTCTTTTGTTGCTGTAAAAAATGAATTGACTTAATTTTTGTAGGGTTTAGCAAGGTAGAACAGATGAAAGTCAAAGTTAGACCTCTTTATTGACTGTCCCTACACTTAACGGAGGAATGACATTTCTTAGTATATAGTCTTTCAGCCTCCCTGCTGCTCATTTCACCTCCTGCAACAAAACGATTTGCCTAGACCTTAGACGCCCAGCTGCACTCTTTGGGTCTGGTGACAAAAAAAGGCAAGTGAAAGAGGACTTCTTCTGATTTTCTGTCCCTTTTCTTCTGCCTGACTGCAGAGACGAAGACTGTTCCTAGAGAATTGAGAGAAGGGTAAATCCATCTTACTTGGTGTGGAAATAAAAGCATTGGTACCGGAACAGGAGCAGTCATTGGGTCACAGCCAGGCTGTAGAGAAAAGTGTGGAATGAGATGGCAGAAAACCACAAATAAATTTGAAAGCACTACAACATTGGGTATGACAGATAAAAGGACATTATAGTTGTTAAGGAAGATGGTCACATCAGAAATGTTTTTAAAAGGTAACAGCATTAGGGATTTATCCTAAAATAGCTTGCTGTCTTGTGTTTAAAAAGTCCATGAAACAGCATTAATGTCATGCGACCCAAATTTTTCTCATCTAATCTAATATACAAAATGATGAACAAAAAAACAACAACAATCAAATCAGTTTCAGGGCTTCCTTCATTATAAGAGGTGGAAGAATGTGAAAAGGGTGACAGCGGTAAGAAGTCAGTTGTACTTGCCTTGTACACCTGATCAAGTGTAAGGCATCGATTGGCCTCAGGCCGGATAGTCCAGGAAGAAATTTTACCATCTGGTGACGTCTCACGAATGAACATGTCATGTAGAGAGAGGTTATGGCGGATTGAATTCTGTAATTATAAATGAGAAAGATTTTTTGAATGTGTGTTTCAGCAAGTGATACTCAAAGACTTTAATCTGTTGTCTGCTATATTGTATGTGCTCATGGATTATACATTTATTCTTCAGTTCTAAAGTACCTTCCATCCTGGTTTGGCTACCTCTCTGAAGTAAGGGAAGTGGTCCTCGATCCACATGTAAATCTCTTTCAGTGTCATCCTCCTGTTCTTCCGACTATTGATAGCAAACTGGATCATGGCCATGTAGGAGTATGGTGGCCTCTCTGACATGGGTTGCTGAACAGCTTCTGCATCCGTTTGTGTATCTTGTGCCTACAAAAGAAACAATTTAAAAGAAATAGAGGCTTGAATACATGGTAGATGTATTAAACTGTAAACACATTTAGATTAGTGTTATCATTTTAAAAGTAGCCTGGACAATACAGAGATGTCTACTATATTTTATGCATAAAAACATCTTAAATCTCACTTCAGTCAGGTTAATGAACATAAGAATATGAAAGATTTTACACATTAGATGTAAAATGTCTGGCCCATGTAAACGACAAAAATCAATCAATAACTTAATAAAACAACAAAAATTTAAGTCGACATGCATAATAATGTTTTTGTCTCTATATTTTACTCTTTTTTTCTCCATTTAATTACTTCACATAAGATCTTACAGCATTATGTTAGTTTTCTTATATGAGCTGCTACTAATATTTTATTTACTGTTGTGGAACATCTACACTGGCAGTTACCCTCAAATTAAAATCACAGTCAACACTTTTAACTTAACCACTTCATCATCAAATCATTTCAAATCTAGTAGCACAACAGTTCTATGCATTCTCAATACTATGGAAACCACACTGACATGACATTTTAGAGAGACAGACTAGTTCAAGGATGTTGTTTAGGCGACATGCTGAGACAAGCCTGAGATCACTGATCCCTACACACAAGCATAATGTTTTCACATCAACATTACAATCACAATGAGGTGACAAGAAGGCAGACCTGTGAATTTGAGTTATGGTTCTCCTTGTCGGTCATCTGCTTGGCAGGTTCTGGTTCCAAGGCACATGTGCTCATCCTGCCCAGCCACTGAATGTTGGTGAGGCTGTCATCTAAAGGACCACAATCCAGATCCTTATTCACTAATAAAGAAAAGTAAAAACCATTATAGCTTAAACAAAGGAAGGATTAACATTAGCTAACCAAGTCAGTGCTAATAAGACTTTTTGGTACAGTCATTAAAAAAAAACATTAACACTCCACAATTATACTTGAAATACCATTTAAGGAAGAATTTTTTTCCATACATAGTTTAATTCCAGTGAGAGGTTTAGCATCCGGGGAGTGCATAGATTCCTCTGCTTTCACTGGTTGTCCAGCTGTAGTCCTTGTAGAGATGTCATCCCCTTCAGCTGCAGTCTGACAAAAAGATCCATTGTCAGCACTGCCATTCCCACTAAGAAGGATGAACTTGTTTGGTCCCAGTACACCAGATTCTTTGCCTTTGGCAGTGAGGACCCCAATAACACTTTGAAGGTCTGCAGTTTTGGGAATGACAACCACCTGTGTATCAGACATGGAAGGGTGATCCATAATGCGGATGCCATCAGGGAAGCACTGACTGGCAGCTGAATTAGAAGGTTCTTTGGAGCCTGATGCACCAGGTTGGCTTTGCAACTCAGATGCTGGCGGATCATTTTGCTGAAAAGGCAGCTTTCGTCTTCTGAGGATCAGGGGTCTCCTTGGGCTCCGTCTCATGGTCATTAAATCATTGAAAATGCTCCTTGGTGTTCACTGGTTTTCTGTACAAAAATAGCACAAAGTCAAATACTTTGATTATTTTGAAGCCTGCTATACAATGGTAAAAATAAAGTCTTTTGCAGCAACTACCTAGCATGTATCATACAAACACACAGTCCTAACTAGAAATACCGGTAGATTACCGTTTAACGTTACCTAGCAGACGGTATGAATGCCAAGTTACTAGTTAGGGTTAGCTAGTTAACAGTTAAGCCTTTCTGTATTCAAACCGTTCCTCTGCCCGCTAATTGACACGAAGAAATCAATTCTTATCAAACACCAGTCAGAACACTGCTGTGATGGGCTGTATGTTAACAATAGATCTCAGGATGAAATCGAGCTCCTCATTTTCCGTGTGTCCGTTTTTTAGCTGTGCAACTGGTCAGTTTAGCAGCCTATTTTCAGAAAGTGCTTAGTTATGTTCCCTGGCGACTCATGCCTTCTAGAACAACAGTCGTTAACGTCAAATGTCTTTAGTTGACGACGTGTTTGGTGTAACGTTAACTGCAGATTTCCTGGCAAACATCCAACGTTTGTATGGATTCATAGTTGACTTATTTAAATATAATAAGACAGGTTCTCAAAAAATAAAATAAAATAAAAAAAACCCTCGGCTACTTGATAGCCCTTCCAACTCATAGAATTCCAAATTATGCAGCCAATTCATACTGCTTTCTAACGTTATCGCCCTCTAGTTAACGTTAACGTTATCTAACGTTAGCCAAAACAATTAACTTAAGTTAAGTGGTAATGAAGATAGTGAAAATGATCTTAAAACAAGCGCTGCATTGTTTATGAGCTGTGCCGAATTAAAGGTTTGTTTGTCATTATTGACAAAACATTTTAAATTATTTTTATACAGATGTGCATTTGAAGAAAAAGTAACAATGCTTAGACTAAGTTCAATGTGGCATCCCTTTGTTATGGACACTTCAATGAGGAAACGTCTGAAGAAAATACAGATTAGCTTTGCACCTGGCAAGCCCAGCTAACGTTAACGTCAGCTATCTATGGCTGGACGCTAAGCTAAGTTAGCTTACTAAGGTGGCTGGACATCACGTAGTAGCTAACATTAAGTTAGCTAGCTAGCTAGCTAGCTACATACTTTATTATAACGAACAACAAAACTAGATAAAGCCAAACCTTCATATTACTGTGATGTTTCCGGCAATTCCGCTTGGCTGTACTCCTACCAGTAGTGGAACGACTCTGTTCATATTCGATATTAAATAAAAGGATCCATGATATCTATGCTGTTCTTTCACTTTAGTTTTATTTACATGTCGTCTGGTCGATTCAGAAACGTTTTTGAATTTTGGCGCTGTGGGTGCAGCCTCAGTCTCTTTGATCACATGGTACAAATGTGCACCAATAGCAGCAAGACAAAAACCCACCATGTGCACCAATCAGAGGCTACTTTGGTGCAAACCGGGAAATAATAACTATCATGAAGACGGAAACAAAATAAGTTAATAATAGACGACGATAATGGAATAACTAACTTTTTATACATATATCAGTTGTTGGCGATGATAGCTATGTCATGCGCTACGTACCACATTAAGGTATGTATAATATCGGGCTTGTAGCTGCGAATAAACATGTTCGAAGATAACGTTAAACAGACGGCTGTGGATATCTAACGTTAAACAGTAATGTTAATCTGGGTTTGCGAATAGTAAAAGTCTGATATTTGCATTCCACCAGGTCTTCATGAATTATTTCTATTAATGCCCCGTAAAGCCGTTAAAACAGAGAAGCCTCCCCTGCTGTTCCTGGAACGGTCTTTGTGTGGAGCCAGACTCCAAAATGTGCCTGAAGTCCGAGCAGCACTCAATCCCAAAGATTTTTTCACGGAGACACAAGAACACAACAGCTCAACTCTTAAGTCTTGGGTAAGTTGTTTTGCATAAGTTGTTCATTAATTTTGGCTCTGTGGTTGAAGACACTGCTATTCAGCAACAGAGCTCACTGTTAAAGTGTGATTAAGCATGTGACTGAATCTGTTCAGTGTCTGCAGATAACCTGACTGTTATTTCACACAATATTTGTTAAAATATTTGTACTTTTAATCTTTTAGGTAAGTCCACAATTTGATAGTTCAGTTGCAGCTGCACCTCCAGCGAGACGAGGGAGGAGGAAATGCCACTCTGCCACAAGCATCCTTGACAGTTGCAGTCAGTTGTCCAGGAAAAACAGTGTGTGCAAATTCCCCTCATTATTGTTTCAGACAAGGTCAAGAGACCAGTCTCACCAACCGAAGAGTACACGCACAAAGAAGGCTACAGAGTGTTCTGCTGTGTCTGATGTGGGAAATCAACCACTGGGCTCATGCCGAATCAAAAGGACAGTTTCAAGTGCACAGTACTCAGACACACCAAAGAGACAGACGAGCTCTCTCAGAAAAGGAAATGGTGAGAGACTTTCTGATGGTGCTGCATCCTCCAGCAGATTTTTGGACCCACCTGAAACTCTGTCTATTCACGTGACAGGAATTCCACCAGATGGTGCTTCAACACCTGCCTCAAATACGTTCAGCACCACTGAGGTCAGCAGTGTTGGTCCACCACCTGATGTGGATACGCCAAAAGTAATGCAAGAAGGGAGCAGTTCTCCATCCTCCACCCCCTTACACTTGCTACTGCCTCAGCTGTGTACACCACCATGTAATCAGCCACCTGACATTTTGGTGGCTGACACACCAGAGAGGGATTATGGGGTGAAGGTGACATGGAGGAGGAGGAGGGGTTTGATGTTGTTGTTAAAAGAGAGGGGCCATCTCTCTGCTTCAGACACGTTAATTCACAGATGATGTTGAGAGTTGGTAAGAAGAAGATTAGGCAATGGTGTCAACAAGAGATGAAATGTTGATTATTCATTGGACCACTTCTATGATCTGTATTCTTTCTATGAACTATTTGTATTGGACTGAACAGAGCTGCTGCTTTCTAAAGTGATGATGACATTTCAATTTACTAACTGTTTACGTCATTTAAGATTGTTATGAAATAACACTCTCACCAACCCCCTCTGCACAGCAATTATACTTATGATTGTAGAAATCAAATGACCAAATCAAATAAAAATTGCAGTTATTATTTTAGTATCCAAGAAGCAGGTGTTTTTTTCCATAAGAGAATTTTGTTAAGACAGATCCCAATTATACTGTAATGTTATAGATTATGTTAAACCCCAATTGTGAACTCTTGCAAAACAAACCTATTGTTTGTTATTCTTATGCATCAGCATATTAATAGCAGATATATGAAAAAAGGTTGTGTTCATATGGACTGTAACTGATATCACATGCCCAACATTGAGCAAACACTTTATCCTTTTGCCAGTGACATGAAATCTTGAGTCACTGGTGTAATGGAGGATCATCTGAGCACCGCTGTTGGTGAGCGTAAGCAATGCTGTATATAAATTAAAATTTCTTTGTCTCTCAAATGTATTGTGTAAAATATGTGGAATAAATGTATAAGTCTTAGTTTATTAAAACTTTTCTATTGAATTTAGTTCACTTTTATTACATTTTATTTATATAGTGCCAATTCACAACAACTGTTATCTCTTTGCGCTTTTCTTTTAGAGCAGCTCTGGACTGTACCCTTTGTGATATTCTTCACAACAACCCAACAATTCCCACCACTAGCAAGTACTTGGCGACAGAGGCAAGGAAAACCTTCCTTTTAACTTGACTTGACTTGTAACCACAGATCCAGGCTAGAAACACCTGCAGAAAGTGATAGGAGGAGAGAGGGACAAGAAAGCACAAGACTATGGGAAAGGGAAGATGTCTAGTTAGTAACATGCATTGATGGGATGAGGTTGCATACAGATGGAGAGAGAGAGAGAGGAAGAAAGAGGGAGCTCAGTGCATCATGTTAAGTCCCCCAGCAGTCTAGACCTCTAATAGCATAACTAAGGGATGGTTCAGGACTCTCCTGAATTGCTGCTTATTTTTCTGACCATTTCAGATATGAAGGATTACAGTAATATGAATAGATGTCTTGGTGTGTTCATTGAGTTTCTTTAACTATTTATTGTCATGGTAACTGACTGTGCCAAAATGTTTAATTACATTTTCTGTGACAATCCGTTTTCTTTTCACGCCTGTGAGGCGCATTTGGAATTAAAGCGATAATATTTTTCAAGTTAAAGGAACGATCAAGAGCTCTCTGCGGAGGACAGCTGTCCAGCCCTCTCCTAGGTATGAGCCAATTAACTTCTACCTAAATAATCGGCGGACCAATAGGAACGCCCGTTCTTAGTGCGTTCGGTAACTAAGGGCTGCGTTACAGAGGGCTCAGCCGCCTCCACAAAAAGTGTACTGCTGCACGAGGATCTTCCTTAGCAACCGTGGATAAACATGAGTTACTACAGCATAAGGTAAAAATAAAACATACATTGCTTGTACGGTTGTGTTAGTATTTGTTCTGTTTGGTCAACTGTGGAATGAAAAGCTAGCCGATGTAGTTACCGTTTTCTTTTACCCGACAAACTTAACTGTCGCCCCCCAACTTTTATAAAGGCACCATTGCTTAGTAGAGGTTGGGCTGAGGCAGCTAACGTTAGCTTCTAATGGGAGCAAGCTAGCTATAACATTCCGCAGCTGGCAGAAAAACAACACAGTCAACGTTACCATGTCTAATTTTCTCATTTTGACGATATGTTTTAATTACTAAATGTCAAGCGTAGTGGGCGAGCCACGGCTCGTAGTGTCACAGCACAAATTGCTGCTTAACCATTTTAGCTGAACAACTGAAAAAGAAAGAAATTCATCAGTTGACGCTAACGGTACCACAAGTGGCTAACGTGCTTTATTAGTGTTAAGGTTTGCTTGCAGACAACGTAACTGAAGTTATACACTAGTCTGTTTGGATGGAACAAACGTGGAAAGCAGTCGACTGCAGTAATAATGATCGAACGCATCTTATCCAATAATGTAAAAACCGACTCATGTATGTTTAGGTTATATATATATATAATAGCCAGGCATTATTTATTTAAACCTCCAGGGAGTGTTGTTTCAAATTAAAAAAAATTCTGAGCGATTTCCGTCGATACATTTGAGGTAAAACCTTTTTATATACAGTCTATGGGTAAAACATAATTACACCCTGCCTCCCTGAATAATGTAACGTTAGTTTGGATTGCGTCGAGTTTTTGAATGTAGGATGACTAGATGAAATCCAGCACTCTCTACTTAATTACAGTGTATCAAGTAATCTGCATCACGGACAGTGGGTAGTCCATGTGGAAGCCACACTCTTAACTCCACTTCAAAGCTCTGGTTTAGTGTTGAACACAGTGAAGCAAGAGGCATAAAGGGGAAAAATGTTTGCATGCCTGTTTGAGCATGCCTTCTATGTAGCCGCTGTCATTTCTATGTTATAACATTGCTGTAAGGTAGCATATGTCCTCACCTACCAAATAAAGCTATATACATAATACATTAATAACACAGTGTATTATGCTTCCTATAGTGCTTCCTATAGTTCTCTGCAGATGTCCACTCAGCTGGTCGTCCAAACAGGCATTAGGTTTGTGTCTGTATGTCTGTGTTCATGACAGAAGCTGTGATGCACTGTTTCAAGCACTAGAGCAGAGGTCTGCTTTCATCTTGCATGTAGATAAAAATCAAAGCAGCTCCCACCCTTTCCTGTTACAGCCCCAGTCTGATTATTTGATTGTTTTCAGTTTCTAGACAAGGGCTGTCTTTCAAGGCACAGACACACAATGCAAAAATAATGTTTATTCCAGTTACAGTGATGTTGAAAAGCTAAGTTTTTAAATTGTGTATTGCAATTAAAACAAATAGGTGGCTTGCTTTATAATGGAATATTCTTATTCAGTTGTCTTTGTACTACATAAATCCATAACCTGAGAGGTGCCAGTCAGTGTCATTTGGTTCCTGAGTTAGAAAATGCCTTGGCATAGCACCCTTTCCCCTCCAGGTGTCTAACAAACACTGCCATTCCTTATTAGCACATATATATTGTTTAACGGGTTTCAGTTGAAGCAGTTAGAAATCCCAGAGTCTGCTTGGAGAGCTGACGCATCTGAGGCGGGACAATTTACATAACAGCATCGCAAATGTAATGTTGCCAGGACTGCTTACATGGGTGTCGTGTTGACAGTGGGATGCTGATGAAGTTTCTGGGTCCTGTGTTGCACTGTCTCACATCATTTCCAGGGTTAATGGCAAGAATGTAGCACACAACCAAAATGAGAAATGGGACAGCAGCAGCATTGAACATGCTCAGAAAGATGACTAATCCGCTTCTTGGTTGCCAGAGGAGTTAAGCTGATGATACACGGGGCAACTTTTTGAGCAATGTTGCTGGGCAATCTTGCTAGTGGCTAGTCCGACTATGTTTTGAACAGATAGCGGCGGTGCGGGGCGGGTGGCGGAGTTGCGGGGGAAGGGGATTACAGTAGTAATCTTTACTCATTACCATTGACGGCAACGTTGCCCTGCACGATTGCTCTAAAAGTTGCTACGTGTATCATCAGCTTTAGTTATCAAGCAACTAACTTGTGGCTTTTTCGCAAAACATACATTAGTGGTTTACAGGACTTGTTAAGTGTAGCAGTCTAAACTACCAAATGTATAATATATCTAGTCCCCAAGAGATATAGATATATGAAAATAAATTCAGTACCCATCTTAGTTGACCATTCTATTATAAATCAACTAATTAAAGAAATCTCCACAATGATGGCGGTTGACCTCTGTGACAAGCACGGTTTGTGGTTGAGTTGTGATTTACTATGGTTGTCCAGTAGATTCCAAACACACATGGCCCAGCTTGCCAGAGCAATCCACTCTGCTGCTCATGAACTGAAGAAACTTCCCTGCTATTTGTAATGGACTCACTTTCTGCTTATTGAATGTTATAGCACTCCATACATTTCACTGAAGTTACAGTTTCTGCTGCATGTTTGTGATAAATCTGTGCTTCTGTGTGATGTTAGAGATAGATTTTGAATTTGGACAGTGTCTGACATTTCTGTAACGCTTCCTAAACAAATTAAAGCATCACTGTAGGAGAGCCATGAGGGGAGTGTGTCCCTTGGGGACTTTAAGGGAAACTGTATTATTATCAACTCTTGGCGCTTATTTCCATCATTTGTTTTGAGCTCAATAATTACTCCCTCTGCTGAATGAGTCCCCTGCTTATCATCTGTTGACTTATATGACATTTCAGGACAAACACACGCAAACATACTCTTCATTTTCTCTCTGCTTTCTTTCTCTTGCTCTTGCAAATACGCACAGAAAAATGAATGGGAGGCTCTGGTTTCCTAGCAACTAGATTACGGCCCCCACTCCATTCTGTTTTTAGAAACGGTAATCTATAGGTTTCAGATTATTGAGTTTCCTTTTTAAAACAACATGTGCTTTTCAATATTATTATGAGGAACACAGACTAGGATATCTAACTAATACAGCCTAACATAAAGTAATCCAGTAATGTAGACAGGGCATTCATTTTTAGAAGAGTTTGGGCTATTTAAAGCTCAATAAATTCCAACTTTTGCACATAACTGAGATGCCAGACAGAATGTGCATCTGTGGTTTGATATATGCAGTGCCCCCTTGTGAGTCAGAGGAAATGAGCTGTGACTAATTGCTGAGTCTTTCAGAAAGTTACTTAAAGTAGTCTGGCAGTAAAATAAGGGAACTTAGGTGATAGCAAGTAGTCTAACAATTTTTTAAAAGACATATTTCCAGCCATTGGGAATGAATTAATTCACCACTGCACTTATGGCATGAGTCCTGCTTAAGTAACTGAAGTTCACTGAACATAAAGACTGTTCTCTTAAGGTTGATCTTTACAACACTATTATTTATGCCTATCACTTCACACCTATCCCTAGCTGAATCCTTGTGCATTACTTAAAGTGTGAGGTCATGGTAACAGCCCCAAGCCTCCCAACTGTCACTCCCCTGGGTGGGACGTAGCTAGTCTTTGTCAGTGACATAAGAGCAGAGATGTTGGAGCTTGCAGGGCTCACCGTTAGATAGGACTGCACAGTAACTCTGAGCTCCAGTGCAGATGAAGGTTTTTGTGGCATTGTAGAGAGGAAAGACCGGGACTAGCATTCCTGCAGCCGCATCCATGGACACTGTAAAGAATGGGGGATCTCAGCCTGTCTACAGCCGCTGGTCATACAGGTAGCTGCACACACACAGACACATATACATTATGATCTTGGTGCTGCTGGTTGAAAATAATCTTCCCTGTGCCCTCCAAGACTTATGGCTTATTTGTTCCAGTAGGACAGTTGGCTCCCGCATTCACACACACACACACACAGACAAACACATTTTTGCTTTAGTTCCCGAAGGTGTATTGACTTTTCAGGTTTGAGAATTGCAGAGTGGCCTGTTGCCAGGACAGAGTTCAGCGCTGCTATAATGTTTCTTCCAGTCACTGCTCCATCTCTCTGGTCAGCTTAATGGCTGACCTGCAGTCAAAG